AAAAAAAAACATCAGTGCAACTGCTACATGTGAAACTGGTATTACTAATATTGAACTTTTTAAATATGTTTTTAATCCTTCAATTTAACCAGAACACGTGTTTATCGGAATGATGTCTATTTATTCACTGGATAGCTAATAGTCATGAAAACTGGTCACCTGCCGCCATCTTGGTACTCCCCATTTTCACGTAGTCGCGCCAAAAAAAAATGCCTACTGTAATGTTATTACGATAACAATGTAGTCAATACATGTACAATATAAGCACATCATCAAGTAGTGTGAGTATGTTTTACTTAATTTCTGACTACAGTATTATGTCCCATTTACACTCATTTTGTTGATTTGTATATTACAAATTCTAGATTTATAGACGTCATACTGAATATGCAATGTGTCTATTTTTTTTTAACCATAATTGCAGTAGTCTATAGATGCTATCAAACATCAACTATGTGTCAAAATGGTGGTTTTATCTTTGTTTCAAGTCTCGTTTACATTCCAACCGGTCTAACTAGGGAGTACCAATATGGCGACTTCACAACACTACCAACGGCCAATCAGCAATCCAGTATGCTGAATGAAGTAGCCCGAGCAACAGCGCCCTCTAGTGACTTGGATCTGTTCTGCAGCGTCACAAAGGAATCAAACACAGTGGGTTAAACAGTTTATTGAATTGATGTCTGATTTTCTACTTTTATTTCTGTCCGTCTTTACAAAGTGTAAAGAGAGAAAAAAAAAGACAAAAAAGGAGAGGAAGAGAAAAACAAATATTCACATGATTAAAACGTTTCCCAACGCAATCTTTTAATGATGTAACAAATGGGGGAAGATTAAATCTAAAAAAAAAAAAAAAACATACAGGCACTAACAGCTACTTTAAAAGAATGGAAATATGTAGATAGCTGTCAACATGAGAGAAGTTAAAAGCCAGGTGATAACGTCACAAAGGCAGCAGCTGTAAACTGGAGGGGGAAAAAAAGCTGCTGCAGCCTCTCAGCTGTCAGGTATTGGTTAGTCAACAACAAAAAAAAACACACGACAGGTTGCATATATGACTCAAATAAGTCCTGATAATAATTTCCAAAATCATGCATGCTTAAAAAAGTCAATCTTTTGTTTCCAGGTCATGTTATTGTACACGTTCGACAGAAGAAAAACAAAGCACAGGGGGAAGGGGACTGATTGTATCCTAACTACAATAATCAAAAATACAAAGGCCCTGATATGCACAAACTGCACTGTCATACTTGATATCCTCTAGCACCATTATTTGCAAAAACAACAAGATATAAAACATTTGTGTGGGAAGAAAAAGAGTGCTTTACCATATTTTTTTTGTTTGTTTTTTTTTTTATGGGGAAACAGTGAGTCCAAGAAATGGGGGTGTTATTTCTGAGCATAAAATCAACTAAAACAAACACAAAATGTTAGGAGAGGGGAGAAAACAAAGTATTACTACAAAGTAACATCATGCTCTAGTGTTGTGGGTATTGGCAGTTAAAACAACAAGTACAACTAGCACTGATACACATGGCTAAACATGAATACATACAATACAAAAAATAAAATAAAACCCAGGAAGTTTAATTTGAGATCATTATTTTTTTTCTTAAATCAAAGACACGGCCTGTTGGGTTTCCAGTCTTGTGCAAAATAAATAGGTTTCGCTATCATTCGATTACATCTGCATGCAGCCGTTTTCCTGCTTGTCTTCTGAGAGGTAACTCGTTTTGAGATGAGAACCAATGTTTTAGGCGCAGATTCAAAGAATTAAGCAAATAAAAAGAGCACTAGGCAGGTTGGCTAGGAATCATAGCTAACATGATCAAGTATTTGCCTCATTTATTTACCTGATAATAAAAAATAACATTACAGGTCTGCTTTGCAAAGCTTATGTACACAGAAGAAGCTGTGTCAGGCCCGCGTGTTCTTTAAATGCCATGCAAAAGCAAATATTAGTGTTCCTTTGGTTATGTAGAAAACAGTTCTGTATGTGTGTCACCCTTTACAAAAATAAAAGTATAGAAAATCACCGTTAAAAAAAAGATCTGTGAATGTTTCCTCCAATGTAAAATAATAATTAAAAAAAAACATCACTCGTCATTAGTAATATACTTATTAATATCTGATTTATCATCTCAATCTAAATTGTACATTAAAACTATCATCAAATATATTCTTTTCTGGTACCTCTCACACTGTGATTTAATTGCTTTAATGTTAGTATTTAAAAATTAAAGTGTGAGAGGACACTTACAAGCTCTCACTTCATACAAAAAAAAAGCAATTTGCAGCATCTTGTTTAAAATCATGCATGCCTCTTCAACTCTTTCCACTGTTTGTGGTGTTAATATTACTAAATTCAGTTTATTTTATTGGGATTTTGTGTAATAAACCAGGAGAAAATTAGTGCAAAGATGGGAGAGGTGAAGGTGTAGCATACACCTGCATTCTGCCAATTGTTATCTTTTACATCCAAATTAAATCCTGTGCCATCACTTCCCTTAAGACTTTACTAACTAGTAAACAGATCATTAATCAGGGGTGACAGATTAGTGCTGGTAGCTCCAGAGCAGCAGAGACCCACAGCTCAGGCAGTAAAACATCTTGACAACTATTAGCTGGGGTACTATACAAATCTTAACTTTGTGGCAAGGTTGTTAAAAGGGGAAAAAACTATTATTCACTATGCATGTTGCTACAAGCCCTGTAGGGGGCGCAGCAAACCTGCAGATTCTAAAACTAACATCCAGAACATTGCATCTCTACTAAGAAACATGGTAGAGGCGGCATCATGCAGCTGAATTGGAGGAGGCAGCAGGAGGGACGTAAACATGAAATTTTATGCAACACTGTCTTGAATTAAATCTAACAGATGTTTAGTAAAAATTGGTGTTAAAGACGACCAGTCCAATGAGCTAGTTTTAAAAGAAAAAAGGACAACGCTCAGTAGATTTACCCCAGCAGACTTGCAGCTCTAAAGCTCCGCACTCTGCCTGAACGGAGGAATTCACTTTACCTCCTGGTATTCATCCTCCACTAAAGGGATGTTGGATAAAGAGAGAAAAAAGATTAAAAAAATAACAACAGGGGGCTTTAAAGTCCACCAAACTTTCAAAGACTATCATTAACCTTCCATTTCCAAATGACGTGTTGATCTTTTACATAAAATCCCAATAGAATAAAATGGATTTTGTTATACTTACATGAACAAAAGTTTTTTAAAAAGTTTAAAGGGAATGAATACTTTTACAAGGCACCGTATCAGGAAAGGTGTTAAACAGCAAAAGCCTTCGATTTCCTTCAAGGTTTTGTTTTCCTCTCCTGATAGGTCTGCATAGCGTGCCGTCAAGTACAGGTGCAACATGTTTATTACATTGTCTCTTTTAAACAATTATATACTCTTTTATTATTATTATTATTTGTTGAAATGATATACACTCACGTGTCTTTTTTTTAGTTTGGGGTCCCTGTATAGCAGGAAACCTAAGTGCTTTTAAGAATGCACAGACTCAAGGAGAAAACAAGGAAGAAGACCCTAAACAATGATAAGGTAGACGATTTAGACAGTAGAGGCATTCTGGTTGCTCGCTTCTTACCTCTGAAATGCCCCGTATTTCAGAACGCATATTGGATTTCTTCGTTGTGTTAGTTCAACGGCACATCAGGGATTCAAGGGAAAAACAAAAACACCCTCTGCTTTCTACTATAACACACTTATCAAAAATGCCAAACTGAAATGGAGTTTAAAGGGAACGCTGGGCGAGATGTAAAGCCACACTAACACCACAGCTCATCCAGTCCTTAGTCTTTCTCATCACAACACTCTGAGCCTTTAAAAAGTTCCTGGAGTCTGTGCAGCTGGATCATGTGCACCTCTTTCAGTCGGTTGCACAGGATCTGGGCTGATGAATCGTCTTGAGCGAGCGCTGGTGCAAAACTGGCCATTTCTCAAAAAAAAAAAAAAACATGAGGAAAAAAAAAAGTGTTAAAAAAACCAGCCCCAGCTTGATCTGGAAGTACCATCTCTACAGCTGGTGTAACATGACATGAAATGCGACCTCCGTGCACAACAGAGGCAATGATTTGTCTTTACACTGCAAATTTTTCTCATATATAATCCCACATCTTTTGCAAAAGAAAAAAAAATCATCACTTCAGGTTCTTAAGAAAAAACATGGCCAGAAGCCAAACTGTTGCCAAGTTTCAAGAAAAAAAATCATCTGTGCACGGTAGCCTGAAACTGCTCCCTGTTCTCTGCACGTCTTGGCACATGACGTCGGTCAGGCCTAGATTCGCCGTTTTTGAAGTTCTTAAGGGAAAAAAAAAAGAGAGAGAGTGTTCAGGCGGCAGGGAGGAGGAACGAACCAGTTGTTCTGCTGTTTTAGTGAGGTTATGTGGAACGGAGGTCAGTTCCTGCAAGACAGGATCAAACACCAGGGTCATTTATGCCAGAAACACAGAGAGATGGTCTGCAAATATGTCATTACAAATTTATATATTTATACATGCAAGTGTGGAATAAATGTATTTAGCCTCCTTCAATGCAGCTGGGTCCTTCAGGAAGTATCTCTACCATCTTTGCACGTGTAGAGAATTAATTATTTACTCATTCTTCTTTATAAACTCAGCCAGACTGGATAGAGAGCATCTAAATCTCTCCATAATGGCTCCTTATTTGTTTCCTTTTAGCACTTCCCTCTTTATTTCTTCCTATTATTTCTGACCAGCTTTCTTCTCCCTGCAGGATAAAATACCCCCCACAGCATGATCCTGCCACCACCGAGTCTCACTGCACTACTGTGTACTTGGGGTTATATGCAGAGGTAGTATTCCAGTCTACAAAGTTAACCAAAAAAAGTTTAGTTTTAGGCCCCGTCCACACGAAGTCAAAACGAAAACGAAACGATGATATTTTCCAAAACGTTTGCCGTAAAGACGGAGACGTAAAATAAATGTGAGCGTCCACACGAATGCATGAAAACGCTGCAAAATGTATGCCAGGCCTGTAAGTCGCGC